ATAAAAACAAATACATGAAACCAGTCGGAGGTACTTTTGCTAGCCTCACTTCTTCAATAAATCAATGTCTCCAGTGTGTGTGTGTTTGTGTCTCGGGGTGTTGAATGGTTGGAATATTAGAACAGGTAGTTTACTTTGGCTCACACTAAAGGGAATTGCCTGCAAGCAAAGAGACCACACACACATTCTACCACAGCGCCCTCTGCTGCTCAATGTCATGTACTGCCGCTTTGACTAGGACACATGGGCGCTTCTATGGGAGGAAGAGAGAGTGAGGATCTTGCTGTGATATCCTCACAAAACTTACACCGTGTCTATACTTAGAGCTAGTCATATAACGCAACAACACCACAGCGCTCCCATTAACCAATTAAAGGGGCGTTTTACACACACACACACACACACACACACACACACACGTTGAAAACACACACACACACACACACACACACACACACACACACACACACACACACACACACACACACACACACACACACACACACACACACACACACACACACACACACTCCTGCTTCAGAGGTTTTGCAACAGGCAACCAATCCTAAACCTAAAGAGTGCCTGTCTCATTAAATATTCATGAGCTTTGAGAGGAGATAAAATGTCGAACAGTGGCCATTTCTGGCAAACGCAAATATATTTTAGAAAATGTTACCGTCTTAAAATCTGACTACCCATAGTAAAGTATTAAATTTTGAAATATGCCATGAACTATGGTTGAAAATGACCCTGGGTTAACAATTTCAATTGTGAAAAGCCCAGAAGCTAGCCTATATAAATGTGTATGTTGTCCAAGTGATCCACATGCAGATAGACAGTAACATAAAACAGGCCTGCATTGAAGAAAAAAACATACAGGAGAAACTCGGCTTGATTAGAGGCTGCTGAACCATCGAAACAACCATAAACAGGCGGCTGAAAAGCACATGCTAACTCTATCTAACATTATCACTTTCTTGTGATCATGAGCAACAAGTCGGCTTTCACACTGGCTCCATATTGGGGAAAAAAAAACTTAAAAAAGCAGAGCCTGGATCCCTCCCAAACAGCATAAGGAAATAATTCCCTTCTTTAGGGCAAACAGCTAGACTCAGCCTGACGTGCAATTATGCAATCAGAGAAATTCTAGGGCTACAGTTAACAAATGGGAATAAAAGCTTTTCTGTTAAGAGATTCTCTGAGAGCAGGTTTTATCTGATTAGAAGTTCCATCGAACTGATTTATAAACTTTGTAAGATACCGTTCAGTATTTTTAATTTTTTTTTGGAAGAAATTTTTCTCTTTTTTCAGCAAGGAAAAACAAAATGATCAAAAGTGACAGTAAAGACATAATGTTACAAAAGATTTCTATCTCAAATAAATGATTCATTAAAGAAATAAAATAAAAAAATCACGGTTTTCAACACTGATAAGAATAAGAAATGTTTCTTGAGAAGCAAATCAGCATAGAATAATTTCTGAAGGATCATGTGACACCGAAGAATGAAGTAATGATGCTGAAAATTCAGCTTTGCCTTACAGGATTAAATTACATTTTAATATGTATTAAAACAGAGTTATTTTAAATTGTAATGATATTTCACAATATTACTGATTTTAATGTATTTTTTAATCAAATAAATGCAGCCTTGGTGAGCACAAGAGACTTCTTTCAAAAACATACCGTCCCCAAACTTTTGAATGGTAGTGTATATTAAAATTATAATAATTTATTTATTTTTTTTAAAATAATTTGTACATCACCGTTTTTTTTTTTTTGACAGTAATAGAATAATAAAAATGAGAAAATGAGAATTACAAACAATTTACATTTAAAACCTCTCACCTCTAATTCATCATTAAAGTGTTCTGGGGAGAAATGCACTTAATTGTTATGAAAATAAACTGCCACAATACAACTAATTGTCCTAAAACTGGCTTCATGATTTGAGGGTGAAATGAGACTTGGACATGTAATTCAACCTGTTTGTATTTGGAATAATTATTTGACATTTGGCACAGGAGTAAAGGAAGTCCCAAATAAAGCTGTTTCTCTCCATCCCACACTTCTCTTTGGAGCAAGTTGTTTTTGTGTCCATGTACAGTAAAACACTTCTCAGCATGCAACTTTGCAAAGTTCTCCCTCTGCTAATCAGGTTTACTACACCATATATCTGCAATGTTCGTACTCAAGGACAGCTCTGTGGTGAGGCCAACGGCAAGGAGATTTACCGATCAAACAAAGATGCCCAGTGCCATGTTGACAAATCTCACTCCTCATGAGCTGGAACCATGTTTGCTTTTCTGACTGTTTAAAAAAATTGTCAAAAATTGTTGTTTTCATTGGCCAGCGCCACATATCCCTTCCCATTCCCTTGAAGATGGTGTCTGATTGAAGTGAAATGCCAAACCTCTGGCCTCGCGTCCCTCACCACAAATCATGGTCAGAGCAGGATTGGGATCTATATATGGCTCTAATAGACCACATCACGTTTCATTACACGGAAAATTACAGAAATGCAAAATCCTTCAACCACTTCCAGTTCAGCAGAATCCTGTTTATGGACCGTAAAAGACCATGAAGTGGAGGTACCAAAGCTTTTTGAAGAGGTTTTGTAAAGGTTTAATTTATTTGGAAATGTGGCAACAGAGTCATGAAAAGAGATTAGCACATTATTTCAAACTTAGACCTTCTGGAACAATTTCAGTGAAGCCTTTTGGATTTAATATATTGGCAACTCTTACAAGCAACAGCAATCCACATAAACTGTTAATTAGGACTAGCTTCAAGTTTATGAACACTTTTAGGAAATATTTTTATTAAAAACATTAACATACAGAAACTTTTTAGGATTTAAATGATCATTTTTTTAATACAAATATTTTCTTTTTTCAATACAATTTATACACATGTATGTGTACTGTAATTCACTAACTTCAATGATGAAAAAGAAAACAAACACTTACCCAAAAATGAAAATTTGCTGAATATTTACTCAACCTCAGACCATTCAAGATGTAGATGAGTTTGTTTCTTTATTTTATCAGCTGTATATATATATTATTATATATTTATCTATTA